GCACACAGCAAGCCTAGTGAGACGCCATTTCACACTGGCACACATCCCTTTCAGGGGTATGAGTTTTCAGATGTTGCCTAAGATAATCTTCGCGTTTTAAATGTTTTCCGGAATACTTCACATTATTTCCTCTTTATGGGTTTCACTCACATTTTTTAGAAGTTCTGTGTTTTTGCCACAAAGGAAAATCCCTTTTGACATGTACAGCCCTCGTGGCCCTTCCCGTGTCATTTCAGATGGCTTCCCGCATCCCTCCTGGCACACGTGAACGGTGGTTCATTGGCATGCTGGCACTGATGAATTTTCAGCTGCTCATATTTCTTAAAGGTCTTACAACCTTCCAAGTTGCATACATATTGTTTTTGCTGATTTTCGTGTCTACATTCAAAATGTTTCTACAAGTTTGACTTTGTGTTGGATTTGTGATCACAGCCAGTAGCAGCACAAATGGCTTTTCTCCAGTGTGAATTAAGGTGTGGCGACTGAGATCGTCATCCCTGACAGAGGCCCTGCTACTCCCTTCATAGTCACAAACAAACGGTCTCTCCCCCGTGTGCCCACACAGGAGCACCTCTAGCTTCCAGGCCCTGTAATTGGAACATGGTCAGGTGTGGTCATGGGTGACACTGCCTTGGTGACCCAGGCTGGCGGCTCCACAGTGCCTGGGCCTCTGTGACCTGGGCCAGGTGTGCAGCCATGGGCCAAGCCACATGCCAGGACCCAGCACTCTGAGCCCTTATTTTAAAAACTCATAATCATAAGTAAATAAGCTTGGACAAGAGAGCTAAGTAATTTTCAAAGCTAGGGCATTTGCTATTTTCTCAGTGTCACTGAAGGCTGTCCAAAGACTATTGATTTAAACAAATAACATGGTATCCTCATGATTCTGGTATTTTCATGCTTAAGGGTAAGCATCTAAAAACAGATGATGTTCAAATTAAGAGTCTAGTCGCACTTTCCAAATTCTATACGGATTCGAAAGAAATCAGACACCATTTCTTATAATCTTACTTACAGATTATTTTATTGTAAAAATATAAGCAATCACAAATAAACCTGTTGCAAAATCAATGCTGAATTAGCATAAATGTAATTCCAAGTGACAAAAAAATTAATCTGGTCAATTACAAGCAGGAATAAACATAAAGCCACGATGGTGCTAAAGTTATTTTCTGAAGACACTGCTGCATTAAATATGTTTTTCGTATAAGAATCTTAGAAAAATAAACATTTCTGAGGAGATCATCTTCATCTTTTCTTCTTGTATAATTACAGCCATATTTTTATATAATAGGCCATAAGGTGATATGTAAGCATAATAACTTCACCAAGATTTTTTCTTATCAAATAAAATCATATTTCTAACTAGAAACTTTCCCTCTAGTCATTTTAAATTAATAATCCAACCAGTGTCAAAAGTGAATACATGTTTCTTTTAAATGACTGTTAAGCCCTAACCTTCATTTTCCCCTAGTAAAATAGCATGAAAAGTCGTGACATTATTTGCTACAGAAATCTGGATTATCATCTTAAAGCCATTAGCTTGCATTTGCACATTAGCACAGGAGATCTTCTATCCAGCGATGCATGGATTACATGTGTGAACATTCTGCTTTGCTTCACAGGTGGACAGCTCCTTGGCGAAGGACTAGGGTCTCCTAGCCTCACAGATTAGCTTTCTCCTTTGCAGCCAACTGAGACCCGGACTGCACAAAGGTATGAATAGCGTTCTGTTTTAAAAGAACAAGACCGGCAGGTTAATTAACTCACGGGCAGCAGCAACTTGGTATTTACTTAGCTTCAATTGGTAGCCAAATGAAAATAATAATTCAGAATTCATTCATTTAAAACTGTCTTATAACAAACAAACAAGGCGGGGGGGGGGGAAGAAGACACAACAATCACAATTCCTTGAACTTTTTAAGACAAG